CTTTCCTTCTCTGTGTTCTGAGGGTTGAGCTGAAGTTGTCAGACTTTGCAGCAAACACCCGTGCTTCCTGAGCCATCTCCCCTGGTGGTAGTGCATTTTATAAAGGAAGTATAATACTTTATCAATAAAAATTTGGTGCATGCTTATTAAGCTACCTAAAATATGTTTTTACAATAGTTAATTTGAGAGAGTTGTATCTTAATTTTTTAAGTTTTATCATTAGTGGCTGAACAGTAGAATTTACCCATCCTATAGAAGGAGATCTGATATAATCAGTTCTCTGTATAAACACTAACAAGATTGGTGTGTTGCTCGAAATGTTTATCTAAGTCCCTTACAGTGTTTTTCTGATGCATGCATTTAGTCACTGAATGTCTCAAGCCCCCAGCTGTAAAGTCTGTATTCATGAGGTAGCTTTTAATGGGATAGTGGTGATATTCTGTTATGACGTAGCTGAACATAGGTATATATAAGGTATGGTACAAGGGTTTCTATAGGACCTTCTATTTTTCATTATTGATCTCTGGCCTTTAACTTTCCATTGTCAGAATTAGTAGAAATATGCTTTTATGGTGTAGTAAGATTGGAAAAAATGCAGTTTTCTTTGTAGCCTCTATGAAGAAAGTATAACACTCACAGAGAGACATGAAATTGTTACACCCATTATTAGTTTAAATCATTATGATAATAGTTTCTTTTTTCATATTGTAGTAGATTTGAAACTATTTTATTAGTTATCTCAACCTCATTTTCATGATAGTTTCATTAGGACTAGAAAATTTTCATGTTATTAAGAAGGTGAATTCATGCATTCGCTTAATTAGAGATTTGATTTCAGATTAACAAAAAAGTTTTCTTTTTCAAATTTCAAATTACATAATTTTCTGTGTATTCTCCAATTTTAGTAACTCAATGCAATTCTAGGAACACGTTTACTGTCTTAGATGAAAAAAATGTAGGCAGAAAAAAGTCAGTAGAGTTCATTTAAGCAAAGAACAACTCATGAATTGTACAATACCCTGAGCCATTAGAGATTCAGGGATCGCCTTCCAATTTTCCCTGAGACCAGACAAAAGATGTGTAATCAAAACAAATAAATATTAAGAACTATAACAAAAATGCAAGTGATATATGCAGAAACAGTTTAGTTTGTTATGGTGGCATTTGCCATATGGACATGGTCTTATCATTGGCACTCTTTGATTGATAAAGATTGCTTGCTGTGGTTGCTTCAGACTAAATATCTGTTAAAGAATATTCTTATCAGCATACATTGCTTACATACTAAGTTATATTGCAGTTTACTATGTAGAATTGTAGATTTCAGCCAAATTTAATTCAACACTAATGCAATAACTAAGAGAAATTATGATTCAATAGAATTGGGTTTGGAGATAGAAGCATTTTAAAGTTCAGCAGGGGCTTAACATTTTGTAATGTTTAAGAAAATCCTTGTTTGTTCAGTTGTAAAAAAAATAACATGTTTTGTCTTTCAATTTTCTAGTCTGTCAGAAACTACACCAAATGCCATGTAAGAAATGAGCAGATTTGTAACAAACTTACAAGCTGTAAAAGCTGTTCACTAAACTTGAATTGCCAGTGGGATCAGCGGCAGCAAGAATGTCAGGCTTTGCCAGGTAAATATTCCATGATTTGATAAATGAGGTTTTTACTCTGTGGATAAATAATATTATATCATCATCTATGGGTATATCCAGAAGTCATCAGGAGTCAGTTTAATAACCTGGCCATTTAGCAAAATAATAGTGGGTTCTCCCCTAGAGCCTATGACTTGTGCGTGTACAGGTTCTTGGACTAATAATGGTCTTGTGGAATGGGGCATATATCCAGGCGGGAAGTGATTGGCCGTTCCTGTGGCAGTCATGCTCACCCTTGTACCAGTTGGTCTTTTGCTGGGACCGATGTTACTGTACTCAGAGTTCACAGTTGACAATTACTTCTTCCTCTGAAGTGTTCACTGCACATTCTAGCGAGATGAGGTCCCCATAGTTCCTGTGACTCAGCGGTGTGTGGCATCTTCAGCGGCAGGGTCTTGCTGTCATGCTCTGGAGCATGGTGAAGAGCAGTGGCAATACCTGTACTGTTTGGGCGTCTGTGGGAGCTCACTGGTCAACAGCTCCAAAAGAAGTAACCATTTCTGACTTCTGACACTGGTCTTTTCACTTGTTAGCTTTTAGTATTCGGTAGGGACGTTGTTACCCCACTTAAGGGTAACTTTCTCTCTGTCTCTCTGTCTCTGTCTCTGTCTCTCTCTGTCTGTCTCTCTCTCTGTCTCTCTGTCTCTCTCTCTCTCTCTCTCTCTCTGTGTGTGTGTAAGCTTCTATGGTAGTAGATTTCCATGACTTTTTTAAAAAAGTTTTTACTGTTATTTATCTTTCTCCAAACTACCTCCTCTACTCTACCTTTCACCCCTCACCCCAGTTAAACCCTCCCTGCTCCATTTTTTTCTCTTTAAATATTGTATAACACTGATCAGTGTCTCTCCTCCATTGAAAGAGCCTCTTCATGGCTCCTTCATAACTCCTGACCTCTATGGGAATTCCAAAAGAAGCACACTTACCTAAAGATTCAAAGCTAGCATCCACAAATGCAGCGTTTGTCTTTCTGGGACTAGCTTTCCTCATTCAAAGTGACCATTTCCAGCTCCCTCCGTTTACTTGTGCCGTTCATCTTTCTCAGCGGCTGAATAATATACCATAGTATCAACATAGCACATTCTCAGTACCCAGCCATCAGCTGGTGAATGTCTAGGCTGTTTCTGTTTACTGGACATTGTGAATGGAGCAGCAGCAAACATGGATGAGTGGGTATTTCTCAAACAGGATATGGAGTTTTTTTTTTTTTTTTTTTTTTTTTTTTTGAGTACATTTTCAAGACTGGCACAGCTGGATCATTTGGTAGACCCTCCCAGCCTTTTGAAGAGCTGCTACACTGGTTTCCTCAGGGACTACATCAGTGTTCCCTTCCCCTGCATGTACACCACATACCAACACTGTCATATGACCACCCCCCTACCCCAACCATAGCCAGTCTAACTGGAACGAAAGGAAATCTCAAAGTAGTATTTGTATTTTAATTTGTATTTTCCCTGATGGCTAAAGATGTTGAACACTTGTTTTAAAAAGAAGTTTCTCAATTGTTTGCTTTTCATCTTTTCAGAACTTTATTTAGTTCAATGCCCTGGTTTGTAATTGGGTCGTTTGTTTGCTTGGTCTTAAGTTTGAGTTGCTTATGTATTCTAGATACTAATCTCTGTCGGATGTGCAGCTAGAAAACTTATTTCTCCTTGGTAGTCTGTCTCATGACTTGTGGTGGTATCCTTTGCTGGAAGAACAGTCTTAGTTTCATGAGGTCCATTTACTAACTGCTGATTTTAATGTCTGCACTGTTATGTTTCCCTGATTTTCAGCCTGCCATTTGCATATAGGAAGCTTGGTGATAACTGTATATTGATTTTTATACCTTGCTACTTTGCTGGACCTGTTTCTTGTCTCTTAAGGTTTTTGAAGAGTATCTTTAGGGTCTTATGTGTATAATTGCATTGTCTGCTGGCAGGGATGCTTCAACACACAAACTGGTCTGTTTCCTTCACTGTTGTGCCACCCTTGCTCATACATCAACGCTGGATTCCACAGAAGAGGAGAGAGTCCAGACACTTACTTTGACCCTGATTTTAGAAAGTAGAAATGCTTTGACTTTCCCTGTTTAGTCTGTTGTTGGCTGTAGATTTGTTGCATGCAGCCTTTAGTATATTGAGAAATGCTCTCCATCTCTAGCTTCTCCATGACTTTTATTGTGAAGGCGATAATGGGTTTTTCAAAGGTTTTTCTGCATCTGCTGAGATGATTGTGCGGTTTTTGTTTTGTAATCCATATATTAGTTGCTTTTCCACTGATGTAGGAAAGTACCTTGACCATGGAAAACTTATATTAGAAGGAGTTTATCTGATTATGTTTCCAGAGAGATGAGAGTGAATCACAGCAGGGAATATGTGTTCGTGATAGCAGGAACAGGAAGTTGAGAGCTTAAAAAAAAAAAAGCAAGCAGAAGCTCGAAAAATAAAGCAATAATAGAGAGAGGGTGGTGGGAGGTTTTTGTTCTTAAAGCCCCGTCAGCGATGTGCTTCCTCCCCAGAGAGCTCTACCACCTGAGAACCAAGTGTATCTGAGCCTTCCGGGGACTTCCTCATTCACACAGCCGCACTCCATTCCCTGGCTCCCATAGGCTCACAGCAATAGCCTAATGCAAAATGCATTTAGTTCAACTTTAAAAGTCTCTGTGGCTTTTCATAGTCTCAACACTGTTTAAATGTCCAGAGTGTCTTCTGAGATTCAAGACACTCTCTTAACGTTAACCTCTGCTAAATCAGAGAGAAGAATCACATTCTCCCATCATGTAATTGCGCAGAATGTACGTGCTAGGAGGACTGAGGGCTTTGTGAGGGAATATAGGACCAAAGCAAGTGCTCAGATGCTGGAGACTATGGAACACATTTCCCATTCACACCACTACAGTGTGAAACGACCGATAATTTAACAGGAAATCTGCAATATGATTAAAAGTGGTTTGCTGTTTTGAATTCTGTAAGACCAGGAAGACAGTGCCATACGTGGCCTCAACCCAACAGGAAAGCCATTCTGTATTCACTAAGTGATAACAGTTTTGTGAGGGACTTCTGTGATCCAAGCATGTTAATCACAGGACCCAATTTAACCTTTAGAATATTGGCTGTCAGTGAACTGGAATCCGCAAGACCTTTTTGTGTGTATGTGAGTTCAAAGTGCATGGTGCGAAGATACACTTCACTTTGAGTTTTCATTCTGTTGAGTCTGCAGTGGGCTCTTCAAAGGCTATGAATTCCAGCATCTTAAACTCTGGTTCACCACTCCATAGTAGGTCACATTGGATGTAAGGTGGTTTAGAAAAATTGGCGATAATAAAAGTTTTTTTTTTTTGATTACTCAGCAACCAAAATTAGTTGGAAAGTAAATGCTTAATGAATCTGAAATATTTTGGCAACATCTTTATTGAATCCTGTGACCTCACTGCAGCCTGAGTTCTGAACACAGCCACGGCCACTTTGCCTGTATGTGTTAGCGTGTGATAACAGGGATTCTTCACGAGAAACTTGGACTATATTGTTTCTGGTGTACATACAAAGTTTTAGGTTCTTACAGAAACATAATGATTTAATTATAGTCTTTTAAATATTTGGCCATTGTAATTTCTCAGCATGTGAATTTTTTAATTAGTATTTCTTTGTATTGCATTGGGTATGATGGCTTCATTTAAAAATTGCTATTGGAGTTGCTGACTTTTCATAAAGGATTTTAAATGAACTTTGATAGAATCTAGAGCAGAATTTGTAACAAATTCTGAATTGTCCTTAAATATACTTCTGCCCTTTTGCTCTACATAATTGTGAGAAATTGTGCTCTCAACAATGATGACTGTTAAGTTTAAAATAGCTGTTAATGTTGAAAAACATTGAAAATATCCTGTCCCAGAGTATCAGGTGTTCAGTTACAATTAAATTCTTTATGTAAAAATAATGAAATGTCTGTCTCATTAGCATGAAAATTTGTTTTTGCCTTTGATAAATGGAAAAATTATATCAGATTTTCAAAAATGAGATTTGTTTTGACTCATTATCAGCAACTGTTTGGTTTATAGACTTATTTCCTATACCCGTGCATCTAGGGCCATGCAAGTTTTTTTCTAAGCAAAAAGGAGTTTGTATTAGTTACTTGTCTGTTGCTATGACAAAATACTGTCATCAAAAGCCACTTGAGGAAAAAGGACTTATTTTGTCTTATGGTCCCAGAGGGTGTGAGTCTGTAATAGCAGGGAAGCCATGGCCCAGTCATCGGGAAATGGTCTCCTGTCTGTAGAAGCAACAGGAGAACTCAGTGTAGGAAGTCTTGCTCAGTAGCACACAGTCCCAGGTGACTGAATGCAGAATCAGATAAGAAAATACAGTGTCTATGTCTGAAATTAAAGAGGTTTTTAAAAAGGAAAAGCGAACCCACAAAAGTAGGTTGTTTCAAATTTGATTTACGTAATAAAAAATAAATCCCCTTATGTTAAGTTTTATTCCACCCCAATTTTATTAGCAAAACCTTAAGCATGTAGAGCATGGAAAAACTTGGCCAGGACGCCCAAGTCCCACTTGGAAGAAGCTACAAATAACACCTCTTCCATATCATCTTTAAAACTGATGGCCGTGTGCTCCCATCACTCTCTGTCCTCTGTGTCCATCACTCTGTCCTCTGTGTCCATCACTCTGTCCTCTGTGTCCATCACTCTGTCCTCTGTGTCCATCACTCTGTCCTCTGTGTCCATCACTCTGTCCTCTGTGTCCATCACTCTGTCCTCTGTGTCCATCACTCTGTCCTCTGTGTCCATCTCTCATTAGCACATCTTAGCTTTTGGATGTCAGGGGACCTCACTTGAATTGTCAGCGGCTTTCAGGGATTTGGAGGCATGTCTCCATAGGTTCTTTACATCGACAAAGTGAGGATGTCCTAATGCCCAGAGAACTGCATCTCTAGCGGGACTTCAATTTATTATTCTAAATTAATACATTCATTTTTGAACAACTGAATCAATTTATGTAATCGTTTAGCAAGAAAGTTCAAGGTGCCCCTCCTAGTTTTGAAAGTTAATGACCACAAGTTTGAGAAGTCCTGCTTTCAACAAGTTCTGTGAACATCTCAGTACTGCTTGAAGGCTATTTGCATAAAGGAAGACAGAAATTATATTTCATATGATGTTGACACTAAAATGTTCTAGAGAACAGATGCTTTTCAAAACTCAATGTAGATTCCGGATCAGATACCATAGCCCAATAGTGTTTTTAACATCTAGGAAGACATGAAGAAGTATGTAAAAATATGTCAGAAATCAATGGTTTATTTGTACTTATCTTTCCTTTCTCATTTTCGTTAGTTCTTTGAAGATCTTTTACAATGCATTTTGAACATACTTCCTTGTCCTGTTCCTCCAAGGTCTATCCCCCTTTCTCAATCCACCAAACTGTGTTCTCTGAAAAAAATCAAGTCTAATTTGTGCTGACCATGTACTCTTGCATATAAACTTCTTAGAGCAAGGTCAACCCACCAAGGCCATCACCCTTAAAGGAAACTGACTTCTGAATGTCTGTCAACTGCCGATAGCTCCCTAACCAATCCAGCTCCCTCTCACACTTGAGTGCTCATGGCTCACATTTGCACACTCCAGCTCCCTCTCATACTTGAGTCCTCATGGCTTGTGTTTGCACACTTGTTGTGTGCAGGCTTGTAGCTGCTGTGTAGTTTGTCCTTTCTTACCTGCCAGGCTGCCCCTTTAGTCACTGTGTAGCCCAGAATGACCTCAGACTTCCAACAGTCCACCTCCATAGGAGAGAATTTTCTTGTACAAGAACCACTTTTAACGTTCTTTATCTAGTGATTCATTACCTAAGAGTACATGGTTTTTTTCCCCTGTTCTTTTTATAATTCTGACTTTTTGTTTGCTTGTTGGAGAGAGAGAGAGAGAGAGAGAGAGAGAGAGAGAGAGAGAGAGAGAGAGAGAGAGAGAATGGGGTTGTGTGGATAGGGGTGTGGAGTGGGAGAGAGCGGGGGGAGGGGGGAGAGGCAGATAAACAATAGCACTGTAATTAAAATGGTTTCTGTTTGTGAGGCAAACAGACATCAGATTGCAATTAGCCTGCTGTGCTGCTCAGATGGGCCTGGTTCTAGATTCTTCACTAGGAAAGCAGCAGGTTTCTTTCTTTTCTAGTTCTTGCTCCACAGTGCAGTTGGGCCTGGAATGGCAGTTGTTCTGTCTCTGCTTCCCCAGTGCTGGGTTATAGGCCTGGTTCATCCAGCTCAGCTTGGCTTTCTTTTCTCCTAAAGCGATCTGACCATAGCCCTCTGCACTCATAACCTGGCCTCCAGCTCTGAGCTGCGACCTAGTGTGTGTGAGACCTGTACTTTCTCTTGCCCTCTTCCTTCTGTTGCTTTGTCTTGTCTTGTCCTACTTTGGTGTGATAGTTTTTCTTCATCTTAGATTTCATTTTGTTATATTAAAAAAATTAAATGAATGAAAACCTAGCCAGTAGGGTAAAGGAGGTTAACAACTGAGCTGTTCTCATACCTGCTGGGAGAGGGAAAATCAGCCTTCTCCAGTGGAGTGACACTATCAACTCTCTCCAGTGCAGTGACACTGTATACCAACTCTCTCCAGTGCAGTGACACTGTCTACCAACTCTCTCCAGTGCAGTGACACTGTATACCAGCTCTCTCCAGTGGAGTGATACTGTATACCAGCTCTCTCCAGTGGAGTGACACTGTTTACCAGCTCGCTCCAGTGGAGTGACACTGTCTACCAACTCTCTCCAGTGGAGTGACACTGTTTACCAGCTCTCTCCAGTGGAGTGACACTGTTTACCAACTACTCCAGGGCAGGCCTCATGCTCAGGATAGATGACCACATAGTGGACTCCGCAGTTTTATTTTGGTTTCTTTTTTTGGGGTGTGTGTGTGCGCGCATTTTTATTTGGTTACAGTTTGATGGGTTTTTGTTTGTTTTTTTGCTCTTCCTTTTGGGTAGTTCTTTTATTTTGTTTTCTTGGTTTTGGGGAAAACATAAACTTGGGTGGTTAGAGAGGAGGAGAGAATCTGGAAGGACTTGGGGAGGGGAAGAATATGATCAAAATATATTTACATTTAAAATTATTTTGAGTAATTAAAAAAACAATATGATCTTTTGTAGCCTGGAATTAGACAAATATACTAGTAATTTTGTTTTTCAAGAGGTCATACACTGATGCCCTATCCTTCACAGGAATCTTTGGAGTCAATGTAGATAATAGGTGTTGGAAAACCTGTATTGTTTAAGAATTCAGGAAAGACTGGGCAATGTGGTGCATGCTTTAATCCCAGTACTAGGGAGACACAGGCAGATGTGTCAAGGCTAGCCTGCTCTACATAGCGAGCAAGTCTCAACAAAACATACAAAGGAATTTGGGAAAGAATTAGGATCTTACTCTTCAGCAAACTATTATATTAACTTTATTTGGGATATTAGAAGTTTGGGATATTAGAAGTTTTTAAGTGTTCTATTTAAAAATTTTAAATTGCCACCATGGTTGCATCTATAATTTTGAAATAATTGATAAAGAACCATGCCTTTTTGTAATGTAAAAGTAAGGTGCAATTGTTTTTTTTTTTTTTTTTTTTTTTTTTACCTAGCTCACCTTTGTGGAGAAGGCTGGAATCATGTTGGGGATGCTTGTCTTCGAATCAATTCCAGTAGAGAAAGTTATGACAATGCAAAACTTTATTGCTATAATCTCAGTGGAAATCTGGCTTCTCTGACAACTTCCAAGGAGGTAGAGTTTGTGTTGGATGAAATACAGAAGTACACACAGCAGGTAAGCCCTGCCTGGGGTTCTTCAGGTGATGGACGTACACAATGTCTTCAGGTGATGGTCATACACAGTGATCCCTGATCTGCAGAAGTGATTTATTCTTTTTGTCTTGTAAACATTTATGTGAAAGATGGACAGATATTTACTTATTACACATGTATGAAAAACGCTAACATACTTGGTAGTTTACTGCTGTGTGAGAACCCAGAGATGCACTGATGTTCTCCCCAGACAGGGATGTAGAGAAAGAGACAAGAAGAGCTCTTCTTGAGTGTGGTAATTGCAATTATGGATGCACTCAGGGTGCTTTGTGATGATCAGATGGACAGATAGTTATAGTGTGAGCTTATGGAGCAGTCCTGGAGAAATGCCCTAGCCAGCATTTGCAGAACTTGGAACTGTTTATAAGGAAGTCAGGAAAGCCCGGCAGTTTTTTCTCAACTTGTCTTTAAGGGCTTCCAACACAATGATGGTGTGTAGGATGTTTGTGTTAGCGAGCTGGGAAGATCTTTTGATATTTATGCTTTAGGAAAATGTAACAAATTTTAAAGTGAAGTTTTATTGTAAATATATGGCACATAAGATGAATCTGTCTTTGTGTTTATGTGTGTGTGTGAGTGTGTGTGTGTGTGTGTGATGTTAGGGGCTTCTCTTTTGTATGCGTGTACCTGACAGTTTACCACTCAGCACGTGAAAATCTGTGCTATGAAATCCTGTCACATCACAAGCATTTGAGTGGCACACTCAGCATTTTTGAATTTCAGAAACATTAGAGTTAGTCCTTAAAGCTCTGTTGGTTTTCCTGTGTTTAACATCAGTTATTTTGGGCAGTTACAAAATTGCCGCAAATCTGGTCGTTTGATTTTATATTTTAAGACTTCTTGTAGCAGCTAATTTCTGCTGCCTATTATTATACTCCATAAGGAGTGGATGGTAAACTCAGTTATTATAATCTGTACGGGAGTGGATGGTAAACTCAGATACATTATAATCTGTAAGGACTCGCTGGGCTGCTGAGTCACGTCATATAAATAAATGATGTCCTGTTTTATCAGAAACAACTTTTCTCAGGATTTCCAAGTGGAAACTTCTTCAAGGTGACATTTCATTAGGCATATCCCTACATAAAATGAATTATATCCTGAGTCATTGCAGGTACACAGGCTTAAGATAACCCTTCTTTAGCCAATAAAAATCGAAAAATTCATCCACTTTAGAGAGATACTTGGGGTCAAATGATCATTTACTTATCGGAAATGGCTAATGAAATGTTACAATGATTTACGGCATAGTGCAGTAAATTTCCATAATACAGTAGTTTATCTTTCATTTTCAACTGCCTGTCTGCCTCATTTACTGAGTAATAGTTACTTTAAATGTTTTATCACTGGATTCATTTTTTGTTTCTCTTCCTTTTTGTTCAGATTCTTATCATGATGAGTTAGGGAGTAATATTTCATTTTAAATGGTTTTACTTTGCCACAGATAGGAAGCGTAGGAGGAATAGCAGTGCCATGAAGCACATTTTAATGTGAATTTCTGTGTTGGATTGATTATCTGACTAGTGTTATTATAATGCATGGCTTAAAAGGCAGCTTTTTGTTATCAAAGTATCTCTCAGAATAAATGTGTAAAACATAATAATTCTAATATGAAGTAAGAGCACATAATGATTTTATAATGAGAAGCACTGTTAACCCCACCTCTCTCTCAGCATTATTCTAGATAGTATAAAGTAATTTCTGTTCTAAGATCCTTGTTTATTAATTGCTGTTTGTACTATATTCTTTTGGTAGTACGATATATTGTGAAAATTCATAAGGTCTTTTAAATTTATCTAAGAAATATCTGTTGAGTATTCACAATGTATAATCCATTATGCTTATACACTTAAATATTTAAAGGTCTATGGCTAACTTAACCTCCCTAGGGACATTTGTACAACATAAATACCGAATATAAATATCTTATTTACATTGTTAGAAAGTACGATTTAGTGACATTTTTGTGTATTCTGATATTACATATATAAAAGAGTGAAGAAGAATGATGCTTTGAAACAATTTCCCATCATTGTGATTATTAAGTAGCTTAGTGTTTTAGAAGATATATTATCACGTATTAAAAAGAGGTGTCTACACCGGGGTGGGCCTAGGCCCTGTCCCAAAGGTTATGACAGACTCTGATGACCCCTATGGAAGGCCTCACTCTCCCAGGAGAGCAGAAAGGATGCGTGATAGGTAGAGTTTTAGTTGGGGGCGGGGTGGTAGGGGAGGGCGGGACGGAGTGGGAACTGGGATGGTCATGTAAAACAATCTTGTTTCTAATTTAAATAAAAAAAGAAAAAAAAGAGGTGTGCATAATCTAATAGAATAATGAAACTTGGATTTAGAATGTATTTTTGCTTTTAACTAATGATTAAAATAAATTATATAAATATAGAATTGATTTTGATTTCATACTGTTTGATGATCAGCGAGGCTCTTAAGAATAGTTACATGGCTTTTGTCAACTTGTGTTTATCAGATTTTCATTGTGACAGTCAGGCTTTGTCTATGGAATAGATGATGTCAGTTTCCCTAAAATTTTCATAAAAGTCCAAACATAACAGGGAAATCCCAACTGGGAGGTCCTTGTGGCATCTTTATTTAGAATCCATACCTATCTGTTAACTTTGTTTTCTTTTTGTACACAGTGCAGATACTAGATTTATCCTAAATTCAAAACTGATTAAACCGTATACCTGATAGTATTAATTATAGAAGTAATGGTATGTTGAGCATTTACATTTCCCCTGTTTAGTTGGTGTCTTCTGTAGTCTGTTTATTTGAGGTAGGATTTTACTGTGTGGCCCTCGCTGGCCTGGACCTCTCTGTGAAGGTCAGCCTGTCTTTGCCTCCTGGATGCTGGCATTAAAGGCACTCTATATCCCCCTTTTATAGGAGGAGGAAAAATGAACAAGGGTTAAAAAAAGTCACCCAACCTTGTATCTCAGCTGAAAGCCCAGTGCTTTCAAAACAGCGCTGTGGTCTCCATCATCCCCTAGGTCACGCTGAGGTCGTTACTGGAAGTAAGGGGGTTGGAAAGGTAGCTTTTCGTACCCTGAGATACAGCGTTTGGTGGTAATGAGCTATTGCTGAGCAGGCTCAGGCAGTCGTTTCACTTCTAACCACTTTGAATGCCCCATCCTGTTGTTTGTAGAAAGTATCGCCTTGGGTAGGCTTACGCAAGATCAACGTTTCCTACTGGGGATGGGAGGACATGTCGCCCTTCACAAACACCACGCTGCAGTGGCTTCCGGGTGAGCCCAATGATTCTGGCTTCTGTGCTTACCTAGAGAGGGCTGCAGTGGCGGGACTAAAGGCAAACCCTTGCACGTCCATGGCGGATGGCCTTGTTTGTGAAAAGCCTGTTGGTGAGTACAGTGCATCCGTGTTTCTGTCTTTGCTTTAGCCTATTGCCCGGTCGTTCTGTCTGGAGGGCAGGGACTGGCTAGATTTATCAGGGGATAAACTTATCCCCTGATACTAATTGTTTGATACACTCAAGTTGTTTTTTTTTTTTTTAATTGATCTTAGCATTAACTTGTAATGGTTTATTTTTATGTAATTTCTTAAATTTTACTTACTCTTTAACCAAATTTTTAAGGATTTATTTACTTTACTCTGTGTGTACGAATGTTTTGCTTGCATATATGTGTGTGTACCATGTGCATATCTGGTACCTGTGTCGATCAGAAGTGAAGGTCAGATCCCCTGGAACCGGAGTTCCGGATGGTTGTGAAACTGTGTGGCTTCTGGAATCATCCTGGTCTTCTGCAAGAAGGTCAAGTGCTCGCAGATGCCGAGCCTTGTCCCCAGCCCACTGAGTTGTTTGTTACCGTGTTATTATGGACATGTGGTTATGGTTACAGTTTAGCAATGACCTCTTATTTGGTTAGTCTTTTGCTGTTATCATAGTATGGTTTGAAGGAAAAAGAATTGTCTTTAAGATTAATGACTGAATAATTTTTAATCTTACAGCTGTATTGTTTCACTTATCCAAAAAGAAATACTTTTGTTACTTTTTTTGAAATTGATTTTGTTGCATGGAAAATAAATACTTGATTGCTTTTCTTTTTAAAGAACTGTATTTTTATTGTGGTTATATACGCTTTATGAAAATTTACTGTTTTAACCAATTGTAAGTGTGCAGTTCTGTGGCATTAAGTATGTCCCATCATTACAAAACTTTATTTTGCAAAATTAGAACTCTGGTTTTTTGAGGCATGGTTTTCTGTGTAGTGCTGGCTGTCCTGGAGGTCAGTCCTGCTCGGATTAAAGGTGTGTGCCACCACCACCGGGCGTAACTCTCTTTTTTTCAAACCAAACATTTCTTACTCCTTATGACCCTGGAAACACCATTGCAGATTGCTGTGATCTGATGCGTCCAGTGTTCCATGTTATGGAGTCCCAGCACTTTGTTTCTGGGATTTCTTTGTTCCCTTAGTGCAGTGTCTTCAGAGCGTCTCCATGTGTGATCAAACCTGTTCACGGCTGAGAATAGTCTAACATATTTATAGGTCACATTTTGTTTATCTTGTCATCCTCTGGTGGATGCTGGGGTTACTTTTAGCTGTTTAGAGAAGTTGCTATGACTGTGAGCATACAACCATCTTCACTTTCTGGCCGTTTAGAGCGATGTGCCATGCCTGGGCTGTGATTTCTGGGTACTGAGTGAACATAGATTTGATTATTGTATAAAAATTCTAGGTTTAATATTTCCAGGATCTGTTTTACTTTTCCACAGCAGTTGCACTGCTTTACGTTCCTGCTGGCATTGCACTTTCCAATTTTTCAACATCCGTTCCAGCCAATAGTCGTTGTTTCTTTTTTGTTGTTTTGCTTTTGAAGATGATAGTCATCCCAATGTGTGTGATAAATGCTGTGTTTTTTGTGTTACAGTTTTACAGTAAGTTACATGTGTTCATTTGTTCGTACAGAAGAGACAGTCACAGGACATTTACTTAAATAAGATATGGAATGTTTATGGAGAAACGTGTGAGTGGGATAGTAAATCTGGCTGTGCACGGCTGAGACGATAGGAAGAGTGGCTCTCGGACTCCAGGGTTGATTGCAGTTTTGAAAACTGTGCACCTTACACTTTGCAAAGAATTAAAAAATAAAGGAATTGTGTGTTTTCAAATTCAGCACTAAGTACAAATACCAACTTTTTTTTTATCATTTTCCTCCTGTTTTAATGCTTCAGTCTGTTCAATTTAACCTTTTAAAAAGTAATAAAAAAAAAACCCAGACAAACCTAAGCATTTGTGTTAAAATGAAACTATGAGAGGCCTAAAGAGGTGGCTCTTCCAGAGGACCTGGATTTGATTCTCAGAACCCACACCGCAGCTTGTCACCATGTGTCATGTCAGTTCCGGGGACTCTGATGCCCTTTTCACCTGCCCTCTGCAGGCACCAGGCATGCTGGTGGTGGCATCCAAACACTCGGCAAAACACCCATACACGCCATTAAAAATAGAGATTAGTCTAAGAAGTGAAGTTACCAAATGAAACAGTTGCAGTTGTGATTGATCTGTTCCAGTCAGTCCAAATCAGAATGCAAGGCCGTGCAAGAAGCCGTGCTCCCTGAGGACCTCGTGTTCCAACTGCACAAGCAACGGCATGGAGTGTATGTGGTGTGGGAGCACCAAGCGGTGTGTGGACTCCAATGCGTACATCATCTCCTTCCCGTACGGACAGTGTCTGGAGTGGCAGACCGCCACCTGCTCCCGTAAGTACAGAGCAAAGAAACTTGGCATCCGAGGGCATTCAAAACAATGGAGATTCGATTTTCGGGTATTTTGTTGAATATTTTTACACCAATGTTCATGAGGGATATTGGTCTGTAGTTCTCTTTCTTAGTTGT